TCTCACTCTTCTAGGCCATTTAGAACACATTGCTAAAACCCATGTTCCTCTCCTGCTGCTCCCGCCACAGCTCCCTCCATGCACACATCACGCCTTCTTCAGTGACACTTGGAAAAGCACCTATTCGTGAGCACCTCCATCCCCTCTTACGTGTTTGCAATACTGATCTCCCCACAGGTGGGTCCTGGTTGTGATCTGCCTTACACCAGTGAAACCCCGTGGACTTCCGGGGAGTTATTCCTGATTTACACTGGTAGGAGATAGCAGCACACACCATGTGCCTGATTGTATCTATTATTCACACTCCAGTAGTGTCTACAGGTCCCATTTATGGATCCGGGCCGCCTGGTGCTAGGGACTCTGTACACGGGTAGCAAACAGATAGTCCCTCCCCCTAGAGAGCTCACGCTTCTGTGGCTGAATTTGTTATATCATGTATGTTGTCTGAGTGAGGCCCGGCTCCTGCAATGTGATGCGGACAGACCCCTCTGCACCAATTGACCTCAGCTTAAAGGGTCAGGGCCTTAGATAGTAAGCTTCTTCAGGGAAGCTACCTTGTCTTTAAAGTAGTGTGTCCCCCTCTCTGGAGCTCTGAAATCAAACACTGATAAAGTATTACACCCCCCACAAGAGAAGTTCCTTAGAATCCATGATACACTCACCAGGCAGATGGCTATGGACCTAATCCAACACCTGCTGCAGTGAGTGGAAAGGTTCCCATTTACTTCAGTGGGCATGGATCGAGCCCTCCATCTTTCCACATGCGTTTATAGCAACCAAGAGGTGAAGTGTGCTTATACCTTCTGGTTTACATCTCGCCCAGTATTGGATTCAATTATCATTATTCAGCGACGGGACCTAAATGAGCACTTCAGAAATGCCGCCTACAACGCAGGGCTAAGTGAACAAATGATGCTACCATTAAAGTTCTGTCGTTTCCTGCTGTGTAAGTCAAATCTCCGAGCATTAAAAGCACCTCGGCACCATGCAGATTCACAGACAGTGACAATGATTTTCAAGTTCTCTGGCTTTTATAGTCTCGGGGGTTTTGTTCTGTTTCTGGTGTGCTTTAGTCAATTTTAATGCCTGAACCTACATAAGGTTTCAGGACTCTGAGGCTGTAAATTAGGCGGGCTGTAGTTGCTTAGTTCCTGGCAATGATAAAAGTTATTAGCAACAATTCTTAATTTTTCAAATTCCCAAGCAAGTTTAGTTCTCCTAAAAGCAGTAAGTTAATGTAGGGTTACCATATTTAAAAAATAAAAAAAGAGGACACTCCACAGGCCCTAGCCCCACCCCTTTCCCACCCTGGACCTGCCCCAACTCTGCCCTTTGCCTGCCCCTCCCCAAAGTCCCCGCCCTAACTCCCCCTCCTCCCTCCCAGCCACGCGAAAAGGGCTGCCTGAGCGCTACCGGCTTTACGGTTTGCCGGGCAGCCTCCAGACCCTGCTCCCCCGGCCGACGCTTCCCCAGCACAGCTGGAGCCCGAGAGGGGAAGCGCCCAGCCGGGGGGCGCAGGGTCTGGAGGCTGCCTGGCAAACCATGAAGCCCGTAGCACTCGGGCTTCGGGCAGCCCCTATGCCTCCGGACCCTGCGCCCCCAGCCGGGCACTTCTCCTCCCCGGACTCAGACTTCAGCTCTGTTTAAGAGCCAAGCTGCCCGAGCCAGCGCTACCGGCTTCGGGCAGCCCCCCTTGCCTCCGGACCCCGAGCCGCCGGCTGGGCACTTCTCCTCCCCGGCTCCAGCTGCTCTGCTCCGGCAGCGCAGGGTCCG